CGGGCGAAATACGGACCGTTTACGACCGTAAACTGTGATTAACGGTCGTTTACGAATCGTTTACGGTGACCGTAATGTTGGACCTGGGACTAAAGACAGCCATTTACGACCGTGTGTCTTTCACCTGGGTACATGTGGATCTTCTATTCCTGCGGAACGATCGTATACGACCCTGTACGATTATATTACGACCGTACATGCTGACGTATACAGCCGTGTGTGCCTTAAATGGTTTCGTGTCACGGTGCAAATACGATCGTTTACTGTTGGTGTATTGCGCCGTTTACGGCCGTATTTTCGCCATGTACGACGGTATACGGCGTCGTAAGCGGCCGTATACCGTCGTATCTAGTCGTCGTAATGTTCGACCAGGGTGAGATCGACGATTTTAAAAGAATTTGGTTAAATTTGACACTATCTAGGAATACAATGGATTCCAATAGTAATGTTTGACAGAAAAGATTTGTAGAGCTCGTCCTGCTTCTTTATATCGAAAATATCAAGTCTGTCAGATAGGAAAATAGTATTCATCGTATCCCTACCATTTAGGGTCCAAAACGAATCAGAACTTTTTGATTATCATTTGTACCGCACTACTATTCATGAGCCAACTGAATAAAAGAAAAGTGTATCCATTAGCAGCAAATATTTGTTAGGGGTTTCGTTTTGTGTGATGCAATGCTATTAATTCCTTTAGGGTTTTGAAATAGTATGTCGAAAGCTGAAGAGCATTCTTTTACATTTTAAACGAAGGATGAATGCATTGGCATCAGACATGAGATTCTGAAGTTTATTATTGTTTACCTTGGAAACAGTTTTTTTTTACATTAAACACTCGAATCTCATGGTGAAAGCATATCATTTTCAATGCAGCATTACTAGTTATTAGTGTATAAAAGCAGACAATTGTTGTCCTTGTACAACCTTGCAGTTGCATATCTTTCTTGCTGGTCTTTTGAGTGAGAGTGCATTTGAATTTCATTTGAATCCAGTTAGAGTAAGTAGCATACCAGTCATACCTACTTAATCTAACTCAATCCTGCAACTAGAGAAGGACCAGATTAGTAATTGGATCATTTGTCGACGTATATTGAATTTATAAATGGAGAAGATTACAGATACTAATGTCCGCGCCAGAATTAGGTAGGGGTGGGTGTAAGTTCAATAACTCAAGAACCGTAACATCTATCGAGCTGCGGTTTTCACTAAGCGAAAGAGGTGGTGGCCGGATGTCTTTTTCTCCGATAACGTATAGGACGAAATCCTTTTAAAACTAATCTTATTCCACAAACATGCAAATGAACCCATGAAAATGACCTACCAACTAGATGAAATTTTGATTTTGACCTTTGATTTAGTTAGAGGAACTTGAGATCTATAGTTCAAGACACAATGAGCTTTCTTACTTTTTCTTACATTTTCATCGAAATCTCAATCTAGTATGATAAAAAGTGCAAAAACTTAGTAAAAAAATCAGCAAAATTCCTATTATTTGCGCATGTAAGTGCATGATTCCATTTGCGGAACGCTAGAATGTAATAAGAGAACCATTTGCATTGTATCTTGAGGTATAGATCTCAAGTCCCTCTATCTAAATCAAAGGTCAAAATCAAAAATTTCATCTAGTCGGTAGGTCATTTTCATGGGTTCCTTTGCATATTTGTCGAATATGATTAGTTTTAAAAGGATTTCGTCTAATACGTTATCGGAGAAAAAGACATCCGGTCTCCACCTCTTTCGATTAGTGAAAACCCGTGGCACGATGTTTCCGCGCACGACATTTCCGCGCCGACACTTCCGCGCCGACATTTCCGCGCACGACACTTGCGCGCAGCAACACTACCGCGTGCGACACTTCCGCGCAAATGAATTTTTTCTCTTCTGTTTATGTTGAGCTAATGCTAGAGGAATCACCTGGATTGCTATAGGAATTATCTGGGATGTTACGGAAATCACCTATGATGCTACAGGGATCATCTATGATACTGGAAGGATCGCCTGGAATGCTAGAGGGATAGCCTGGGATGGTAGTGGGATCACCTTAGATGCTAGAGGGATCGCCTGAGATGCTAGGGGATCACCTGAAATGCTAGAGGATTGCCTGAGATGCTATATGCATCTCCTATGATACTAAACGCATCCATTGGTGACGCTTGTAGAATCCCAGATGACCCCTCCAGCAACTCAGGCGATCTGTCTAGCATCCCAGGCGATGCGTCTAGTATCTGGGGCGATGATTCCAGTATCCAGAGCAATGCCTCTAGTATCTCGGGCGATGTATGCAGCATTCCACATGATCCTTCCAGCATCCTAGGTGGTCCCTGTAGTGTTCCCGATGAGCTTACCAGCAGTTCACGTGATTCCTCTGGCATCCCAGGCGATGCCTCTAGCATCTCAGATGATCCCTCCAGTATCATAGACGATCGCTCTAGCATCCCAGATGATTCCTTTAGCAATCCAGGTGATCATTCTAGCATCTCAGGTGATCCCACCGATATCATAGGTGATCTCTCTAGTATCCCAGGTGATTCCTCCAGCATTAACCCAACATAAACAGACGAGAAAAACTTCATTTGCGCGGAAGTGTCGCGCGCGGTAGTGTTGCTGCGCGCAAGTGTCGTGCGCGGAAAAGTCGGCGCGGAAACGTCGGCGCGGATATGTCGTGCGCGGAAACGTCGGTGAACCGTGAAAATCGCAGGTCGATAGCTGTTACGGTTCTTGAGTTATTGAACTTACACCCACCCGTACCTAATTCTGGCGCGGACATTAACTACATTATATAGGGTGTCCGAAAAGTCATTAGAGTTAGGAAAATTTGAGTATCTTCATTACGGCTAGAACAAAGGGGCTCACTTTTTTACCAAGGATAGAGGCATGTTCACACTTCAAATTCGTACGGGCAAGGGTATTGAGAATCTTTGTTAAGTATCACTATTGAACTCGGCAAGAAAATTTTACTGTTTCATAGGTAGGAAAAAAACAATATATAGGATAATGCAAAAGACATTTTATTGAAAAGAAAATTAAATATCTCTATTACGGCTCGAGCAAAGCAGCTGATATTTTTACCAACGATAGAAGCATATTCACACTCCAAATCCATACTGATAAGGTTAGTGAGAACCTTTGTTAAGTATATTGTTTTTTTTTCTATCTGTGAAAAAATAAAATTTTCTTGTTGAGGTCAATAGTGATACTTACAAAGATTCTCAGTATCCTCGTCCGTATGGAGTTGGAGTGTGAACATGCCTCTATCCTTGGTAAAAAAATGAACTCGTTTTGTCGAGCGATAATGACGATATTCAAATTTTCCTAGCTCTAATGACTTTTCATACACCCTACAGTACTCAGTATTCAAATTTCTAGAAGAGGTATTAGGAAGAACTCATTAAATCTATTTAGAAGCTTGTATATTACTATTAGCGACACATACAAAGCAGGTTATCGCGATTCGCATATTTGCGGCTATCATGGCGTACAGTTTGGTCTATTCGATGCAGCTTTCAAAGGCTGATGATAAGTCTGTTATAGACATCGAGCTCTTGGTTAGATACAGAGAGTTATAGTGTGAATGCAAAGAGTATTACTGTCATAACACTTGTAAAAACATGTTTATCAACTAGATGAACCTCGTCAGAAAGTATATCTGAATTTTTTCGGTTCTTTGTTTTACAATAGCATATGTTGAATTTAAGAGGCTTCCAGAATCTCGAAGGAAAGTTTTCAGACATTGGCGCATCGCTCTATTAGAGTGAACTTACTGACAAAGAAACATTATTGATTAACCTCGCTGTGTTTCTTTTCGATGGCAATATCAACTTGAATAAAGTCCGTTACAGATAGATGCAATAGGACATCAACAATAGATAAAAGAATTTTCTATTGTTAGAGATGTATTAGAGCTGAAACGATCGAAAGGGTGCGGAGGAAAAATGAAAATACTACGAAAAAAATTAAAATATAAAATGGCAATATGTTGAATGCATTTTGAACACTCAACTCAGTAAAATGTATGTTATTTTTGAAAGAGTCATTAAAAAGAACTGATCCCGATGATTTCTGACTTTCTCAATGTACACATTGAAATACAATGTGTAAATCAAAAGTATAAATTTTGTTCGCAGCCAGTATTTTGGCAAACCCTTTATTAATACAGTGGTTACAGAACAGAAGAAGGAAAACACTATATTGCTCGGTTTGTCCCATCTTTCCAAATATGTGCTACGTATCTCATTGAATCTCGCCATTACTATTCTTTTTCGTAGCCGGTCCTGTCGTGTTTGAAAATAAAGTTTTGATTCAACCACGATGGCTATGATGAAAGTCTCTAGGAACACATGGGCTCGCCACACTTACTTTGAATGACGGCCAAGTGTGATGAAATGAAAGATATATTTTCCTCAGATGGATGGGAACTGTTAGGGAAAATTATTTGGTTGCTATCAATTCAGTTGTCTTTTAGATACTACGTAATGGCTACTAGTAATCGGATAACACCAGCTCAAAATACTGTTAAAAGTCTTGTGATTGATCCAGATAAAATGCCTGCCGCTTCAGCTCCAGTTGAACTTCCTGGCCCAGATGATCGCTTAGCTGAATTTCGGCGATATGTGAAAAGTAAGTTCTGCTATCACCCAGTGGCACTTGATGATGCTAGTGTTATTACTCAAGCAAAAAAGGAAGCCTATAAAGCTGATATTTACACGCTGATAGAAGAAAGATCGTTGGAGTGGAAAGAAAAGCCTTACGGTGATGAGAGTTATCCAGCACAAGCTGTTTCTATTTTTGATGACCCCTTTGATATTCCTCAAACGATACTCACCTCAAAGATGAAGATTCATTGTGACTTACCTAGGTCATTCAATAAGTTACAATGTGTTGACTGCAAAGGTAATGGTAGTACACAGTGTTCGATGTGCTTTGGATCAGGCAAAGATATTTTATCCAGTAGAAATAGGAGATGCAGGGTATGCAGTGGCACTGGACGTATTGCTTGCGGTCGCTGTAAGCAAGTTGGTTCAGTTCTCCTATTTGCTCGCATATCCGTTACCTGGAATACTGTTCACTCAGTTTCTTACTTTCAAAACACATTCTTGCCTGACAAACGCATAAAGCAAGCTGGTCTCAAGCAAGCCTTCTTTGATAGAGACGAAGAATGGTCCAAAGAAAAATCATTGAATCAGTTTGCGCCTGCTTTAAACTTATGCCAGACTATTGAAAAATCAAGTGCAGTACAATTTTGGCAAGGCATTGAGCAGCAGTATTTGGAAAAGCATTTAAAAAATGTGAAAGAAAATATGCAAATACGACGAATGCAAATCACCGTCGAGAAATTAGACATAACAGAAACAGACTATTCATTGGGCGCGTATGTCAACAAGCGGGAGCCACGAAAAGGTTCAGTAAAAATACAGCAGATAAGAATTTCGGAATGAGCAATTTACTTTTTAATTTTTAGGGGAGAAAATTTTCACGTTTCTACAATATGGAAGTGATAAACAAGGCCTTCCTGAAATATATGAGGACGATTACCCTTTAGCAATGTGTGGCTGTGTGAGTGCAGGATGCGCCTGTCAATCGTGCGCTTGTACTATCACTTAACGAAATGGGTTCTCCATTCCCGATTTTATGAAACGAACGATCAAACTTTCACGTTCATGTTTTTCAATTATTTAGTTGATTAATTATCTCTGTCAAAACACTAATCGAATTGTCCCACATCAATACGAGCTTCTTTAGTCTCTTGATTATCTTCTTTCAGTATCAGAATAGCACGATTATTTGCACTTTGACGAGTGAATCATATCTGTTTAAAATTTCACGGCTTGATTAAAATGTCAATACCCTATTCAATCGTAGCACTGTTGAACAAGTTTATATCAGCACGAAGCAGCATTACTGTCATTATATAAGATGCTCATAAAACAAAAGTTGAGTGAAAAATGATCTTTGTTTCCATTTATATAATGTATCGTTAGATAGCACTCATCGAGCTGATCAAGGATGTTACATATGTAAGTAGGGATGCAACGGTGACAGTGGATTGCCAAGATGTAGGTATCCGTACTGGTTTAGAGTAAACTTTAACCCATACTCTCAAGCTAGCCTCTGTGTGCAACTTTTCACCGAACAGAATTTTGAAGTTCCATCCTATTTATTGTGCATGAGCCTTTTAGTGGACATAGTGTTCAAAATAAGTATAAAAGGTGACTTACTCGACAGTTAATTCCACTGTTCTAAATCCAAGAATCATATATGAAGAATTCGTTCGATCAAAAGTTAGCTCTCATTGAGACCTCTAAAACAAAAAAAGGATCGGTTATACCCTGAGAGGAAGGAGTGGGAGTTCTTTCAATTTTCCTGTCTGGAAACCATGTGTTGAGAAAACGCTAAAGAAGTTTTCGAAATGAACTTTTTAATGCCAATCCCAAAGAAAATCATATTAGAATGCCATATTTTTAAGAGGATGCCCTCTGTTTTAGCTATCTGTAGTTCTCGAAGAGGATTCAACCATTTAGTCTGAAAATTCCACCACAGATAGAGCATCTAAATTGACGAGACATGTGCTTGAGAGAAAAAACTCGACGAAAATTTTAGGACCATTTCCTGAAAAACTTTGGTTTTCCATAGGATCACACCGAGGCACATTATGACCCCATTAAACTTAGTCCTATGGGGCTAAAACGTTTTTGAAGATACTCCAGACTATATGTCAGAGGTAGCTTTAAGCTTTTTCAAAAATCTCACTTTCTTTTCTTTTTTCAATGAGGAAAATGCATAAAAATTCATATCCAAAGCCGGCAGTTGGGTTTCCGAAACCTTGTAAATTCGGACAGAAAGCTCAAAACCGAAAATGGCCGATTTTTCTCTGGATAATAGTTTCAACTATTTATGATAAAAATTTCACCTTAATCGGACAAAGTCAGATGGCGATCGCAAGCCGGATAGATTGAGAACACTCATGTTTTGCGTTACAGTAAGTAGAAGAAAAGAATTTCAACAAGAGTATTGTGAAGAAAAAAATTGTCTAATTCTGTAACTGTGCAACAGTAAGCTGTTTAGAGACGGATGATGTCTCTAATTTCATATGACACTTAAGGCTATCATATGTTATGTCCAGCTTGAAATCAAGCTTTTCGTCAAAGAAGATAGGAAGTAACCTTAATACATTTCAGTGGATTTTTTCAAAGCACGTAATAGATGAAGATAGTTAACGCCATCTGTCATGCTGGTTAATATTAACCCTTTGGAGACGGGTTTTTTTTTCTGTATATTTCATCATAAATCAATCAACATTTCTATTTTCTAAAAGAACTTGATAAAGGGTGGGGAGTGGGTGTGGTTGTGGGTGCGAGTGTGGGTGTGGGTGTGGGTATGGGTGTGGGTGGGTGTGGGTATGTTTGAAGATAAGATCAACCCACCCACACCCACACTCACCCCATCCCACACCCACACACCCACACCTACACCCACCTACACCCACACCCAAACCCACCCACCCATCCACACCCACACCCACACCCACATCCACCTACACCCACACCCAAACCCACTCACCCACCCATCGACACCCACGCCCACACACACCCACACCCACACCCTCACATAGCCATAGCGTCATACCGCAACAGTAGAAGAGGAAAGGAAAGAAGAAAAAAGGATTCGCATGTAGAACAGCACCTAACATGTTCCTATATAGAGAGCAACGTTGCTGACAAGGATTCTAGATTATAGAGCTTTTTCTCTGAAAGTCAGTTTTGTTATATTTATTACCCATTACTGGATATTTGAATAAAATAACCTAATTGCAATCCAAATTGTACCAAAAAGCTCTCTGATAAATGCTTTCACAAAAATCAATCTCACATAGGAATCTGTGTGTTTTGAAATGCTAGAGAATCACCATGGCCCCTTAAGGGGCCAACCGTCCCCAAAGGGTTAAAATGTTCAATTCAATGCTGATGCCAGTAACAACGTAGTTTTTCTAAAAACAGAAAAGTTTAAAAAGAACTCATGTGGTCAATAATGTAAAATAATGGACATTATTTTACATTATTTTTAAGAAATAATGTATGAAATGTAATTATCATGCAACCTATTTCA